AGAGAGTTGACATTAAAATGCCTAGTTTATATTCTCTTTCTGTTGTATTTTTGCACTGGAACCACTCACAATGATGTCAGCCCAGCTCTAGGCATTGTCTCTGATAGTTCAATTCCAGCTGAATGGCTGGAGCCAGCAGGGCATTAGCATTCACTTGATTGATTTAGCATACTCAGAGAATAAGATGGGTTTTGTATTCAGCGACACACATGAAAAACTGAAGAAATTATAAAGCAGTCCAAAGTTATTTTGGAGTCACATATCTTTTCCTTCTCTCATACCTTCCTGTGCTTGAGGGCACCATCTAAATAATGGCCATTTCAATGCCAAGCCCTTCCTTGACAGTGCTCATGGAAGAAGGAGAAGAGAAAAGCAATTTAAAACTTGTTTAACATAGTTCATCAATTTAATAGATTTCAAGTCTAAAAGATCATATTATGCATTACCTCCTATAAATATAGGAGAATTTCAACTGTAATTTCCACATTTTGTCCAACAATTGGAGAGAACACTTTTTCAAAGGTAAATACTTCAAACTGAGTTCTTTTAATAAGTATTAAAAATACAACACTTGATGGTTTTAAAACTTGCTTCCCTTGTCCAGTGCCTACTCTTCTGACAAGTTTTTGATGTGACTCAAGATGCATGACCTACAAAGAGTTTGTGTCTTTTCAGATTCCAGATTCTTAAATGTAAAACTGAAGTGAAGAAGAGAACGCAGGCCAAAATTTTCAGAAGAGGTGGCTACAGTTTGGCTCAGGGATCCATCTGCCTCCAAAAGAAATGCTGAGCCCAGCAGGTGCCTGGGATTCCCAAACTTTTCAACAATAGGACTGAAGACCTCAGCAGATATATTTGTTCAGTTATACACTTTAAGGGCTGCATGAAACAATTGGAAGGACTATACTGTAATAGAACATAGCTGACCTCTTCTTAAAAGCCCTTATCCTGCACCACCTCTGTTGGCTCCAATGGGTGTTCAGCTACTCAAGGTGAGTTTGCAGCCTTCAGACCATAACCATACCTGACCCCTGTGGCAGGATCTCTCACCTCCTGATACAGCAAAATCTTATCTCTACTTCCCTCATGGCTAAGCTAGGCCAGCATGGTTTGTCTTGGGATGAATTATCTCAGCTGAAAACACCTTCAGCCAGCAATAAACATCCTTCCTAGAGTGGTGGGAAAGGATAAGCCACAAATAAGTGACTGACGGACAAGCACATTTTACAGCTATAAAAGACCACTATGATTTTCATTAAACCAGAAATCTCCTCTACGCTCTCTGAGTGTGTAGAGAGTTTTCCTCAATGTGGTGAGAGAGAACCACACAAGATCACATCAAGATACTTCCCTGGGACTCAGAGAAATTAGAAGACTCTTTGCACAACACCATCATTTGTTGGTAAGTGGAATTGGTTCCTAATCTATACTATTTTTTTCCTAGCTGTAACACAGGTACCTTTATTACTGTGCACTGTACTTTTATCTAGTAGTAGTTCTTTTGTTTATCCTGTGTTGTAAATAAGCCTGTTAAAGCCTTGTGTCTGTTTTCCTTATGTCTATTCAATAAATAATTCATGTTGTAATAGGCCTGATTGGTCATTATTAAGGACTTGCAAGTGAGAGTGGATTTTGGGGTGCTGGCTGCCCCAATAAAGCTACTGTCTAGTGCCAGAGAGCTGAGCAAAGGCAGGGACTTGACCAAGCTCTCCCCTTTCATTCGTAACAGCCCCCCTCTTCTGATGCAGCCAAATGGACAGATAGAATTTGTGCATTTTCCAGTAGATTCAACATTATAAATATATGGATGATGTGAGAACGCCAGCTGTCCCAGTTCAACCTCACCTTTGCATTTCTTTTCATTCCAACAGTATCTCCTAATTAGGAATTCTTTCTATATGACATGTAGCTCAACTGGTGTTTTAACTGCTCAGAAGCACCCGCACTAGCTCTCCCCTGGCTTCAGTTACCTGTTGAGTGCAACTGCAGGCTCCACCCAGCCTCCCTGCTGCACACACACGTAACAGGAAGACAGATGGGTCTGGACATTCATTTGTGATCATTAACAAGCAGTGCCTGTAAAAGATGACAACTCGTGTGTCAGCTGAAACATTTCACATTAATTGGAACAAAGATCCTATTAAATATATTTTGATAATAGCCAGTCTCTCAAGGATATTTTGCACCACACAGTGACAATATGTTCGATGTATTTCCTTGGAGACAAGAAAGAGAACCAGAAGGCAAATGCAGCTACAGCCAGTGAAGAAAGACAAACAGAAAACAAGAAACAGTTCTGTAGAGACAAACAATGAACCATGGAGCCTATCAGCTCTGCCAGCAGCGTAGATCTTGAGACAGGTCAGTAGGTTCCAAAGGCTGCTACTGTTCCAGAGGGTGGACAGACACTATGAAGGATCAGTAGGCAGTAAGGGATGGAGTTGCAGCTAACAAACATCTCCACAGACAGCGAGTCAGTACTCAAAGCTGAAATCTGGCAATACTCTCTATGAATACAGGAGTTCATGTTTTAATACAAAACTAATTCAAGGCCATTTGCAGTGATCTTAGAGGAGTCAGTTCTCATGGTTCATTCCTACAATGTGACTGAGCATTTCCCTTGACTTTTCCCACTTAACTTCCATCTTAGGGCTGCCCCTTTCTTGGTTACAAGATTTGGTTGGTTCCCAGCCGATGGCAGAGTGACTTCAAATAATTATTCCCTGAAGTTCCTAAGTATAGTTTCTTGTAGTAATTTGAGATGGATAGTTAACAGGAGTACATGTGTGTCTAAATGAGCTCCAAAATACTTAACAATCACTGTTGTGAGACCTTGTGCATTTTAGTCTTTTTAACACCAAGCAACAACTTCAGAAGCCAGAGAGTCTCTCTGGGCATGCTTTCCATGCTGCTTAGACTTTCTCTTCACTGATCTACTGCTGGATAGAAGCAATGTGGAAAAGACATTAAAGCAACAGTCAAGATCAGTAGCTACATTAGTCATTCTGTCAGAGACCTGGAAAGAACCTCACTGAAGTTAAGCAGGAAAACAATTTGTTGAAACACCTGCTAAGCAGTGAGTCGCAACTCATTCAAATCTCTCTAAAGTACATGATCAAGCAACTGCTGAAGTCCTGAAAGCCACAATTGATTCTCCAAACAGGAGATACTAAAAAAAGGTTTGAACTCATCTCCAGTCTCTGGTATGTGATAAAAACCTGACTGTCCACATATTTATTCCTTTAAAGCAGTCAGGTGGGAAAACACAGGATGAGTGACTTTCCCATAGCGCAGCAACAGAACTACCTGTACAAGCTGACAATACTCTCCTGTCACTGTGTGTAATTGGCATCTAATTCCACTGAGCCATTTCGGACACGCACTGACCCAACCAAAGGAATCATTTTGTAACGTTTTTACCTGAACCTCAACCAATTGTTCCCCAGGCCCAGAAGAGCTAAGCAATCAATCGTCTTACAGGTCTTTTTGCCAAATATAACATTGTTAAGCATTGTATTCTACAGTACAACCTAAAAAAAAAAAACCTTACCAAATAACTGAGGCATCTGAGGCACCCAGACAGGTGCCATAAAATCCAGAGCACCTAAGTTGTAAATTGACTAATATAAAACCTGCTAAATTTATCCAACCAGGATATACCTTACAATATGGGGGAAATCTGTATAGGGCTTTATCCTAATCAATGTCTTCGCCTAAGGGTACAGTTTGATCAGCTAACAAAGAGACAAAACTTGTAAAACCTCTTTTTTTTCTTTTTTTTTTTTTAATTTTTTCTAAGAGGCAGGTGGGGAAAGGGAGCAAACTGTTGTTCTGTGATGCTCATTCAAATCAGGTGTCAACGCCAAGCTCTTGAGAGTTGATGAAAGAGATTCTGACAAATCTGGAGATCAGAACAATTATCACTGAAGGAAATAAAAAGTTATATTAATTGTAAATAAGGTTTTTGGTTTATTCTAAATATTAAGTAACTTTTTGTGCGTTGTGCTGTCTGCCAGGGAGGCAGAGGAACAAGCGAAATGTACCATGCTTTAAGCATAGTTTATTGCATTGGTTAGGAAATTTATGGCAGTATCTCCAGGATTTGACCCTGGATATACCTGAAATACTGATATGCTTTATATATATTTGATCCTAGATAAACTTGGATATATTTGATTTTATCCTGGAAACAGTTAAAGGCCAGTTCTGCCTTTCCTTTATTCTTCTGTCCCCATTCATACACCTTCTCATATAAAAGCAGAGTTTGTGCTGAAAAGTTGAACGTTTCCTGCAAGATATGGCTTGTGATGCAGATTGAGCTCTGGGTGGGAGATCGAGGCGAGTTCTGAACTGCCGATCGTTGCGATAACAAAGGGCATAAAGATGGGTGATGCCAGCCAGGCGAAGGGAAAGAGACACAGCAGGAGGCGGGAACTGCCGATCTTTTTGGATAATAAAGGAGACGAGGACGGGCGCCAGTGAGGTGGATGGACAGAGAGACGGGGACAGGGGCAGAGGACTGAGGAGGGAGAGTGACACTTGTGGGAAGGGACACTGTGACGGGATAAAAGCCCAGGGACTGCTTAACTGGATTCTCCTCGGAGGCACCAGCTCGAGCTGTTTAGGTGTTGCCGTGCCGGGAATAATAAATCCCTTTATCTGAGACTCAGATATGGGAAACCTGCGGTCGAACCGCTGAGGAATCCTGGTCTGACGGTGTGCGTGCAGCGTGTGGGGAGCCAGGCGGGGGACCCAAGAAGAGGCTTCTGTCCCAGCAGCGACTGTCTGTGGCGCTGGGAGCGTCACTGCCGAGGGTCTCGCGAACGGCCGGAGTGGGAAGGTTCTCTAACAACTGCGCAGGCACGGCAGGGCCCGCGGCTGTCCCGCAGCGCCCTGCGAGAGCGGCTCGGCAGCGGCGCGGGGGCACCGGGGACCGTGAGGGGAGCGCGGGGCGGGCGCGCCGTGAGGGAGGCAGGGCCGCGCGCGCACCGCCAGCGGCTCAGGCGCCGAGCGCCGTGGAGCGGGACAGGCGGGGACCGGGCTCCGGGAGGGCTCCCCGCGAAACGCCGCCGCGCGCGGGCCGCGTCAGCCCCCGAGCCCGTCCCGCGGCCTCTCGGTGCTGCGGGCGAGGAGACGGCGAGGCCGGGGCCGTGCGGTCACGGCAGCGGAGAGGCGCCGGGGCACCGGGCTCGTGTGGTACCGTCACCGTGAGCTGCGACCGGGAACCTGGATATCGCCACCGCTTTCGCCAGCCTTGTCCCGGTGCGGGAGATAAGGGAACTGCAGCCGGGGTTAGAAATTGAGGATTGCATTAGACGCGTACGGAACCCGCACTAGTGCACTTATTCCTGTAAGTTCTTACAGTGCGTCTCTTTTTTAGGAAAAATGATTTCTGAAAGCAACTCCTTCATCAAGGGTGTGGTGCTTGGAGGAGCCTTCTGCATGTTGGTTACGCTCCTCGGACACATTAAGGTGGGCCACGGGACCAAAGCCCGTCACCACGAGCATCATCACATCCAGGCTCCCAACAAGGAGGATGTCTTAAACCTTTCAGAAGGTGAACGCGTGGAGCTTAGTAAAAACATCCATGTTTACTGTATCATCCTTGTCAAACCAAAAGATCTAGGGCACTGGGCTGCAGCAAGGGAGACCTGGAGCAAGCACTGTGACAAGGCAGAATTCTACAGCTCGGAAAAGGTCAAAGTGTTCGATTCTGTAGCCGTCAACACAAACGATATGTGGGCGATGATGCGGAAAGCTTACAAGATAACGTACGAACGCTATAAGGATGAATTCAGCTGGTTCTTCCTTGCATATCCAACAACATTTGCTATAATTGAAAATCTCAAGTATTTCTTACTGAAAAAAGACCCCTCTCAGCCTTTTTACATAGGCCACACGGTGAAATCTGGTGACCTTGAGTATGTAGATGGCGAGGGAGGAATCGTCTTAAGCATTGAGTCACTAAGACGACTCTCCCATGTTCTTGAAGACCCTGACAAGTGTCCAGAGCAGGGAGGTATGATTTGGAAACTGGCGGAGGACAAACAGCTGGCGATCTGCCTGAAGTACACCGGCGTGTTTGCCGAAAACGCTGAAGATTCCGAAGGGAAGGACGTCTTTAACACCAAATCCGTGGGGGCCCTCATTAAGGAGGCCATGTCCACCCACCCGCAGCAGGTGGTGGACGGCTGCTGCTCCGACATGGCCATCACCTTCAGCGGGCTGGCCCCCAACCACATGCACGTGATGATGTACGGCGTGTACCGGCTCCGGCCCTACGGCCACTCGTACAGCGACGCCCTGGTCTTCCTGCCCCCGCCGGGCTCGGACAACGACTGATGCGTCCTCAGGGAAGGCCTGGAAACGTGGAGTCGGCTCTTCTCACGACACACAGTTGTACTGACGCGTTGTGGTACCGGTGTACAGGTTCTTTTGCACACTGAGGGTTGGTAAAGCTCTTAATTTTGAAAGTGGAAGGAGAATTTTTTTTTTTCTAAATCTTTTATAGGGAAACGCTTCTGGCTTTTGACAGGGCTGGAATGAAATGATAAAAAGAAGATGTTAATGTTTATTATAAAAGGAAATTAAGTTTATAGGGGGGGTTTGTACATGTAAATATTTATTAATGAAAACTGAAATGAACTTTAGTCTACTCTTAAAAATATATTTTTGCAAGACTTTGATTATTTCCGTTCTTCCAGGCATTTCTAGAATGTCTTTATATCTTTCTAAGTTGTACCAATAAAACTGACTACAGATTCAGTCTCAAAGACTGTAACTTTAAGCTGTTTCTTTTACACTGAGCTACACAATAGCTTGAGCTTATATAGCACCTTCCACCTCATGTACAGCCTTCTAGCAGCAGGAAGCAAGGTGACAAGAAATCTTGCAGCAGAGTAATATCAAGTGCCCTTTGGACTACTGTTTCTAAGCAGACAAAAGAAAAAGGTAAACTGTATTTGAGTAGGTATTAACATGGTCAGGAAGTCTGTTAGCACAAGATTAGTTACTCATTTAAAATTTCACTCCATCTATAAGCATGTTAGAATAAACGTTCAGCATTATTTTTACTCCTGTTAGTGGATGCTAATAGTGTTTACAAGGAAGAAGTTGGTTAATTGTCAGTACAATTTTTTGTTTGGTTTGGGGTTTTTTGATTTTTATCTTTTTTTAACAATAGAGTGCGCTCAGTTTTACACAAGTTCCTGGGTCACACTCCTATCCACCCACAGCCTGTGCAAACAGCACTTCAGTACTTACTGCATTTAGAATTCAGTGACCTGACATGGCTGTTTCAAGACTTGAGGAAGGTACTACATCCATTTGTAACATCTGTGACTGTCACAGGCTTTGCTGGTGTTACAATATTCATAAAACAGGAGCAGACTCTGTTCTCTCACCTTTAACCAACCAGTTGTAACACCCTACCCTGAGCTGCAAGTGGGCAGGTGGGTAAATGAAACAGCTCCTTCAGAACTGATGAAACTATCCACATCTTGGGTTTTTGCTTTTAATCATCAGGTTTTTGACAAGGTAAGACAACTGCTCAGACCCCCATAGAGGCTCCCACAGCTCAGCTGCTTTTTAAAGGTGAGACAAGATGCACCTGCTCATCTCCCCATAACACAGCTGCAAAAAGTTCACCTGTTTTTGTCTAAGCAAGCAAAACTTTCAGTGTTTCTGACCATTAAAAAACAGTTCTGACCCCCCTGCAGCAACAGCAGTCATAGAACGAGAGTGAACAATTCCAACAAGAAAAGCATCTCATTTGTCCCAGATTTGAGGTGCTGTAGGACAACAGGAAGAGATAAGATGGAAGGGTTAAAAGCAAACCGCAAAAGGCAAGATTAGCTCATTTTACACCAAAAAAAAACCCAAAAAGCACCAACAGTGAAGCATAAACTGATTTCCCATAGTACTAACCAGAAATCAGTACATTTCATCAGTACAATGACATCTTCAAGATGCACAGAAATGTTCACCAGCATTCTGAAGGTCTGAGGTGCGATCAGAACTCTTTCTGCAACACTGCTTAAATTTTGTCTTCCTACATTGATAGTTTCAGATTTACCCTGTCTTTTTCAGAAGTACAGTCTTGTAAATAATTTTACAGAATTTTAAAAGCAGCATTCCTTCTGCCATGTCTTAACTTGGCTTTAGAATCAGATGGAGAACACCTTGGCTGCTCTCATCTCTAAAGGTCCAGGGTGCAGAAACCAAGCCTGCAGAACAGCACCACAAGGCACTGGCACACAGTTACATTCTGCTGTTGTAAAATGCATGTGTTAGAATAAAGACTTGAAATATTAATAAATGCTTCCAGAGACATTTATGAGTGGTAAACCTTAAAAGTTTCCTTAATTTATTACAGTATTCCATTTTTCCATAGGCATAGCTTTGGGTATGCTGGGTTATCCAGACAGACACACAGTGCTCCTGAACCCATTCTGTAGCTGTACAGAGACGTGTGGCAGTGTGCACAAGATGAGAGCTCTTCAAGTTCCACCTGAAAAAGTTGCTCCTGGCTACACTGACAAACATGTTTTGCTGTCATGCCTTTATTTAACAGTGATTTTGTTTCTGCTCTTTAAATTAGGCGGCACACAGGGTAGAGCATCAGGCACCAGGGTGGCACACACTTCCCAGGGAGTGTGCCCACCATTACTACAAACTCCTCTAGAAGGAGAGCAGTATCAAAGTGTTGGCAGGTAGAAATCTGAACATACATACAGTCTTCAGATATGAGCCACCATAAAAGAATTTCTAATCCGCATATCAGTCTGAGTTCATAAATCCTATACAGATAAATGCATATTAAAAAGAGAAAATCCTTAAGTAAAATGAAGTTAATGCTCTTAATAAGTTAAAAAATAATGTCAAAAAACCTGATTTCTCCACATTCAAGAAACTAGGTAGACTAACAAGATGTCAAGAAAAAATCTGAAATGCTTCAGGTTTTGTAAACCGTGTTTATATTTCACACACACTTTATATTACTCTTTTAGAAGAGCACAAAAATGTAAACATTTCTTGGCTTTTTCTTCCTTTCCATTTGAAATAGTCTACTCACAGTCCATGCAGAATCTTTCATCAAATATCTTAAGTCACTGAAGACTCAGGTTTAAGACAAAACAAAATAACTGTAATAAAAAGAATCTAGAAAACTATTGTAGCCTAACAGGACTTTTGCATTCAACTGATTTATTTAGCATAGCCACAGAACAAAATAATTTGTACATTCAGTCACATTAAAAACAAGGAATTACAAAGCAGTCCACATTTAATCTAAGTGCATTCCTTTGGAGTAACAGTTCCTGTTGTTTCACTTGTATGTCTTCATATGCCAAAGGCCATCGTTTAAATAGTGGATATTTTCAATACCAATCCCTTTGTTGACCTTCTCACTATAGGAGGAAAAACATACAGAAGTATTAGCTAGGTTAAATATGAGAGCACTACAAAATACATTATTTCAAGTAGAAACTGCAACACTTGTCAGCTGGAAGGGGAAAGCTACCAACCACAAAGTCATCTTCCACAGCAGGTGGACAAGAAACAATATTTGTCATTAATGTGCCCACATTGATGACTGATAAGAGGACAGTATTTGCCTTCTACATTTTTTCAACACCTTGCTGCAGTATTTTTACTACTTCTTTGTGGGACACAGTTCTTCAGACAACACTTCTGCTACTTTTCTTCATTTTACCATTTCTCTACCAAAGTAGCACAGCAGTTGTGAGTCTTCCCCTCCCAGCACAGGATGTGGTACAAGATGACTGGAATTTGGAATCTAACAAGTTTCAAATGTGCCAATGACACAATCAAATGCAGGTGAGCTGCCTCACTTCTAGCTGCAGGTCATCAACCCACTTAAAAAGAATTTAAAATGCTAAATTTATGTGCCAAGGACTTTCAGCTTGTTAGATACATTCTATCCTCCATAGTATTGACTATCTTTTGAGTCACGTCATCTTTTAAAAATTACTGGTTTATGTCTCTGTTTATTTTTCCAGTTAAAAAAAAAAAAATCAATGAACTAGTTTTGCCACAATAAACAAAACAAATCTCTTTCTGGGAGTGAGAACAAGTTTCATTCCCCTGGAGAATATGATTTACTCTATTTACACCAAGTGTTCTATTACTTACACAACCTGTCCAAAAGTAATCAGGAAGGGAAATGCTGCTAACACAATATTAACACATTATATGTAGTAATTACACCAAGAGATTGAAATCCCACTGCCTAAACCAGAAAATTGTGGAACAATGTCACACGAAAAAACCAGCTAACAGGCTGCAGAGAGGAGTATAATTCCATTTTCCTCTCCAGTTCATGTTGCTTCTCACAGGAACAGGATCTTCAGCTGCAAGGCTGGTGGATTTGAAGGCAGTATACAAAGGACCTTGGTTTGCAATGATCACGGTGTGTGACTGCTCTCTTAGGACTGGGCCACATGTAGCTTTTCTTTCCACTTGCTCTTAGAGTCTTTTGAAGCACCACAAAGAATCCTGAAGAATAGAATTCCTCAACAGCTACAGCAGGTCCAAATCCAGGTTTCTGCATTCCCACTCTCTCGCTGTCCTCTAAGACATTCCCCCCTCTCTGCCTCACGCTATTACGACTTAGGACAGGCTTGTTGAGAATTAACCACACAAAAAAGTGACTTGTTTTCACCAAAAAGCTTCCTCACTGCCCCAAGTGACAGACAGGTCTGGAAACCAACACAGCCCAAACCTGCTGGGTGCACCTCACATCCTGCAAGTTGTTAACAGAACTTAAAATGACAAAGTGATTTAGATACTTATAATTTAGCATTATCTGAAAGCCAAGAACAACTAGCATCCATTTCATTTTCTGTATCTCTTTTTCTTCTCAAATAGTTTTCTGTTTATCCCAAGCAGAACTCTAAATTTCACAAGAGGCTCAGCTAAGTTAGTCAGCACATCAAGCAGGAATGCTGGGCTGCATGTGGGTACACCCTGAAGAAAAAGAGTAAGCCACAGAGAAAAAAAAAAGCCTGGATAGACAACCAAGATCCAGCAGGACTTGAGTCTCTGCTGTCCCTGCAGACAAAAATCTCTTCAATGTTTTCAATCCTCTCAAATCCAAATTACATCTCTTGCCTAGCCTAGGTAGTACTCTGTACTTGAACAGCACGTGCTGCAACAGCAAAGTGGTAACTTTTGCTTATACTCCAAACTAACACAGGAATAGTAACACGGGACAGGTTATATTTCAGCTTTTAAAACACTTACATGTCCTCAGCTGACATCTTCATTACTCCCACACATAATGCATGTTGTTTTCCCTCTGCCATAATTGCCTACAAATTACTGCTAAGGAAAACAGAGTTCTTTTTAAACTATTTCAGAAAAGAAAAAGCAATATGAAGAAATTACTTCCAAAAACACTTGCAAAAGCCAGTGTTGAACTTTTAAACTTTTAGTAATTCTAGAGTTCTAGTTCTTAAAGATAAGCAAAACAATGCACTGAATTTAACAATTGAATCAGTGTGTAGAACAAAGCATGTATTTATGAACTTGGAACAGCAATTACAGAAAAAATCTCCCAGTGCTAAATTTCTTCTTTTGTGCCTAACACAGAGATGACAGTCTCTGCCTTTCTGGAACAAAACAGCCCATGTTTGTGGGGCCATTTTAGATTCCAAGGCACAGAAGAACTGAGACACCAATTTAAAAACCACAAGTACTGAAATCACATGTGTCCTTCTCACAGCTTAGCAGCATGTGATGTTAACTGCTGATC